CGGTGGCCCGTTGCTGCCTGGCGCCCCTGTGCCCCAGCTCTTGGGACCCTCACCGCTGTCTGAGCCCAGCTGCAGGCCTCCCCACCCGACTGTGACCCCACTTGGGCCTCGTGGCCCCGTCTCCTCCCGCGTCAGTGTTGGGAGAGCCCGGGCTCAGGCTCGGGTGGTCTCCCGCTCCCCACCCTGGCCCCTGACCTTCCTTCGTCTCTTCTCCGGTGTCCCCAGATGCATTGCCCTCTGCCCGGGGTCTCCTTGGGGATCTTCCCTGCCCCCTGGTTATCCTTGTCCCCGCCTTCGTCCTTCCATCCTTGCCCTCAGTCTTTGCTCTGTTCCATCCCTGTCCCCTCCGTCCCCCGCTGCCTGCCCCTCTCAGTATTGGGGCTCCTCCTCGTCTCCCTCGCGGGGTTACAGGCTTCTTCAGCTCCGGGCTGCTTACCTGTCTGCCTAAGCCTCTCCTGCCCGGCTCCTCTCAGAGGCCCTGCTTTTGCCCCTCTCTCCCCTTCCGTCCCAGGGCCTTGCCTCAGGGAGAAGCATCAGCTCACACACTACTGTGCTTCCCCCTTGACCTGCAGTTGAGATAGCAGGGGGGTGAGGAGCATTGAATGTCGGAGATAAAGAGCAGGTTATGTCTTTGCAGGAGAATTTACTGGGGTGTTGCATCAGGGATGATGTGCAGTTTGTAGATCGTTCTTCTCATCTCAGCTGTAATACTTCTTTATGGGCCTGTTGACTTCCAGGAACCCTTGGGAAGAGACTGGCTGCTGAGTTGGGCGTGCGCCAGGCGTGGCTGGAGGCCTCGTCCAGCTCTTTTCCCCTTCCAGGAAACAGGGCTGCGCGTCTTTCCACTCTGGACGTACTGAACACATGCACATCGTGATACCCCAGCCCATGGCAGCCCTGACTCCCACCCTCGGACCTGTGGTTCTCAACCTTTTCCTTCTGTGCTGACTCCGAACAGTGTTTTTCCTGTTTGAGTTTTAAACAGATTGCCGCCCGATAGCTCCGGGGCTGGCAGACATCTGTCCCTTTTGCTGGTGATGGCTTGAGCCAGCTGCTGACTTTCCCTCGTGCATCTCTGATCCACGGACTGCATCAGGGCCTCTGATTCCCGGCCCTCACTGAGCGGGTTCTTTTGAAGTTTCTCCCTGCATTTTCCTTGGGAGCTTAATTTCCTGTGGATCCAAGAGGGAAGTGGACACTGAAGTTCTGTTCCCTTTGCCCAGGCGTTACAGCAAAGGTCAGGTCACTGTCTGCCCAGGCGGTCTGGGACGGCGTTAGTCAGACTGTGGCAAGAGCTTCAGTCGCTTCTAGTCACAGAGACGATTCTGTCTGGGGCCAGAGAGCCCACCACCTTTGTGGCGTGTCGGGGTATGTAACCTTCTCGCCAGGCAGAAAGTTCTTTTCAGACGTCTTCCACCTGAACTCCTTTATTTGGAGTTGGTAACCCTAGAGAGATGGTCAGGAAGTAACATACAGGCCCCTGTTTCTGCCCGATCTGGTCTTGGAAGATTCAGAAAGCGTGACCCACTCTCACGTTCAGAAACGAGGGCCTGTTGTTTCACGCGGCTCTGGGTTTCTAGGTCTTCTCTTTTGAGGATCGTGCTCTCTGTCTTTGAGCCAGAATTGGACACAGAATTGGCAACTTTCAGGGGCTTTGGTGGAGAGCCAACTGAACTAGCTAGGCCAGACTTCAAGTTTTGGAATCCTCTTGTGCACTGAACTTTTCTGTGGAAGAAATAGGATCCAGGATGGCTGAGCCAGTCCTCTTTCCACTGACCCCTGAGCCCCCTCTTAAGCAGCAGTTGGGGGGATTTGGGCAGAATGGACCAAAAGGGGTCCCTTGTTCTATGAAAAACAGGATTGGAATGGGTCATTCTAATGAAGTTGAGGTTGTGGGTTTGGCAGTCATTTAGTCTAATCTCAGGCTCCCAAGGGTTTTGCCTGCCCCTGAGCAGTTTGCTACTCCTCTGTCTTTGCTCACCTGCACTCCCCACTGAGGGGGTAGGTGAGAGGGCTTGGGAAGAGGTCAAGCCCACTCCTTGTGGAGCAGCTTGGGCACCAGCAGCCCTGGCCGATAGCTTCCTGCAGTTTGCTCACGCTGTCGTTTTCTACGTGGGAAGTTACGATTGTCCGTCCCCGAGTTCCCATTTAGTGATTTTTACAGAGCCAGGGTCAGCCTGCCTCTTTCGCAAAGGTGTGAGCAGACGGGCCTCTGACAGTATCTACAGATGGTGTAGCCCATCGCTTCTGGTTGAATGAACTAAGTATACTGAGCCACTCTTTCGTTTGGCTGCCTTTCTCCCTGCCTCTCCACCACCACTTTTTCCTTCTTTGGGGTGTGCCTCAGCCCGCTGAGGAAGAATTACCCTTACTCAGCCTGCCACCTCCACCCGTGGTCCCTGAGACCGCTCCCCCGACCTGGTGAGAGGACAGCCAGGGTTGGATGCTGGCCTGGGAAGCTACCAGGCCCCTGCTTTGGGTAGACGGCAGCTGTCCTGGCTGCCAGGCAAGCTGTCTTCAGGGCCTGCGGATGCTGGTGTGTCCTGGGACTGCAGCTCCTCTCTCTCAGGAGGAGTGGACCTGGCTCTTCTGAAGGCTTCAGCTCCATCCTGTCCCTGAGGCTCCCCTGCCAGGGTGTTTCCTGGCATTGGGAGGCTAATTGTGGGCCCTCCTGGAAATGCCAGGAGCTGCCCTACAGCCCAGCAGTTCCATGCTGGGAACACTCTTCTTCCTTCCCACGTAGCATCTCCATGGACTTCGTCGGTCCTGCCAGGCTCTTGTTTGTGTCACGTCAGAAGTTCTGTGCGTGATGCCCTTGTCTGTGCTGTGTTGTCCCGGATTGCCCAGTGGCTGCTGCTTGTTGATGCTTTGATGTCCTGAGCACGTTTCTGTGCCTTTGGATCTAGGGGAGGAGTTACTTGAAGCAGCTGAGTTACACGGTGTCAGAGGGGAGCTGGGCACTTGCTGGCAGGGAGGAAATGTCCCATCGCATCAGATTTCAGACATGTGGGTCTTCTCGCTTGGGAGATAGTTCCTGGCCTTCATAGCTCAGAGGCTGGTGATTGGGGTGTGACCCTGGTCCTGTCTCCATGGGGCTTTGGTCAAGGAATCAGGCATGACTCAGGGCATCTCCTTTATGAGTTGTTAACCATCGGAAGTGTTGGGCTCTAGCACCTCCTTCATCTTGCCAGCTCCTCCTGCCCCACCCGGTACACTCAGCAGAGCCAGTGTCTTCTTACTTGGAAATGAGCAGAGTACTTCCAGGATTGGGAAATGCTTGCTATGTAGGCTCAGAATAACAACATCTCGGGGGGGGGGGGGGGGGGGGGGGGGGGGGGGGGGGGCAGGGGTGTATGAGGGACAGAGGAGGAGCCCGCTTGCCTTAGGAGCACTCTTTGAGCCCTAGTGTCTATTTTTTTTTTTAAATGTGTTATAGATTTTAGAGAGAGGGGAAGGAAGAAAGAGAAATAGAAACATGGATGAGAAAAAAATATCGGTCGGCTGCCTCCTGCATGCCCCTACTGGGGATCAAGCCCACAACCTGGGCATGTGTCCGTCCTAGTGTTTTATTATAACACAGGAGGCCCGATGCATGAAAAGCCTGCAAGAGTAGGCCTTCTTTCCCCTGGCTGCGGCACCGGCTTCCCTCCCAGCCCTGGCTTCGTCCGGAAGGTCATCCGGAAGGACATCTGGTCTAATTAGCATATTATGCTTTTATTATTATAGATATTAGAGCTGCTTTTCTGACTCCGGCACCTCTCAGCTAAAGATGTTGGGTTTCTTTCTATCCTGCAGTGTTGTGTGGTGTTTGGGGCATGTACGTGGTACTCACGCACTGGCTTCTGCTCACCGACAGATGAGGACAGATGCGCCAAAGAGGTAATCACGTTTTCCTTACCCAGGGGCCTCTAACAGCTGGCACACACATTCCGATACAGGGTCCTGGCCTAGAAGATGAAATAATTTCACTAGGACTGAGTCCCAGATCCCAGGTGCCTGTCATAACTCCTGGTACTCATCACTTGCACATAGCAGACGCTTACTAAACAATTATTGAATGTCTATGACTTAACATAGTTTTTTGGGGAGCATTGAGATTTTTCACCTTTACAACCACTAAACATAAACTCCACAAGGACAGGGACTTATTTTGTTTGCTATTGTGTCTAGGACAGTGTCTGGCATAGAAGATGCTGAATAAATATTTGTTGAGTGAATAAATGCACACACTTTCTCTCTGCCCATATAGGTGCCAGGCCACAAAGATGGTGTTCATCATTCTCTTTCATTTGTGCATTAAACATTTTGGAGTGTCTACTACGTGCCAGGCACAGTACCGGCATTGGGAAAGGATGATAGTAAAAGAACAGAAACAATCCCTATCTCATGGGTCGGTATTTGCTGGCATATATGAGAGCTGGGCATAATACACAGAATTGTTCCTTCCATGTCTGCTGGGGTGGTGGGTCCTTACCAGAGTCTGAACAATGCTCTGGGCTTCCCATTGCTGTTTCCCTGTTCTCTGGATGCCTGGCAGGTTTTACAAATTCTCCGAGGGGAGCTCCAGGGAATTCGATGTTCATTGTCCCAGCTCTTTGGGAGGCTGGGCTGTGATGGGGTCCCTGCTGGGGGCCAGGGGTAACATGGGGCTCCTGTCTGATTTGTTTTAATCTCCAGGTTTTAATGGTTCCAGTAGCTGTTTATGGCTTCACTTCCCTTTCCCCCGCCTTCAACACCCAGCGGGTTTTCCTGTTGCCAAACAGGGTGCTGAGCCCATGTGCCTGTCTTTTTGTGGGGGTCAGGTTGTTTGTGGATCTTGCAGGAAGGCCCTCAGGCAGGGGCCACTCCTGTTCTCAAACCCACACCAAGTCCTTTCCTCTGAAGGAAATGGGAAGGAGGAAGGAGGGGGTTGGGGAGGCCTCTGAGGTTCCCTGAGAAGGGTTGAAGTAGGAGTTCCCCTGAGCAGGAAGAGCTACTGAGTTGAGTTGATTTGCTTTATCATTTGTTTCAGCAGCAGCAGCTAGCCATAGTGGCAGTAGTGTACATATCCACGGGTCAATTGTCCAGTTCATCCCTGAGCTGTGTGCTCCTAGTCTCAGCTAAAATTTTTCTTTTTCCGTTTCCCCTGGCAAAGGTAAGCCTATAGCTTTATCAGATTTTTTTCAGTGTTAATCTACAAAACTGGTGTTGTCATCTTAGTCTTTCCTCTCTGAGGCACTTTTGTGGGCCAGGAGCTGTGACAGATGTTTCACACATGGTCTCACGCCCCAGGTGTGTGGAACCTGTTGGGGAGAGAAGATGTATGCACACAAAGATGTTTAAGACACTAGGGAGCTGGCGGGTTCTGAGAACATGCCGCTCATGGGTACTCACTGAGAGGAGCAAGTCACCACTGAGGACTGGCTTTGTCCCTGAAGAAGCTGAGTTCAGATTGCGCTTTGAAAGAAAGTTGGTTTATTTTGTAGTCAGCTTTACAATATTGTTAAACAGTGATTCTCAAGCTTTTTGGCCTTGAAACCCTTTTACATTCTTAAGATTTATTAAGGGCCCCAAGAACTTTTGTTTATTACCAAGCTAAAAATGAAAACTTAGGAATTTCTAAGAATTACTAATTTATTAAGTCATTTACTATAATAATAATAATAAAACCCATTACATTTATCACAGATGAAAATTTTAATGAAAAATAGCTGTTTTTTAAAACAAAAAAGTTGTGAGGAATGACACAGTTTTACATTTTTGCTAATCTCTTAATGCCTAATCTAATTAAAGGCAGCTGTGTTTTTATAACTGCTTCTATGTCCAATCTCTTAAAATATGTCTTATTGGAAGGATATGAAAAAAAAATCTGTTTTTTTTTTGATACAGATACATAGTTGAGAATGAGAGGGTTATTTTAATATATTTTGCAGTAATTGTGGCTATTCTTTGATGCGATAACAAAACTTGACAAGTGGTAGGATAATCTTAAAGGTTAGTCGTAATGTGGAGTCTAAAACCTTATCGACAAACTTTTTAAAAAATATATTTTTATTGATTTCAGAGAGAAAGGGAGAGGGAAAGAGAGAGATAGAAACATCAATGATGAGAGAGAATCATCGATTGGCTGCCTCCTGCATGTCCCCTACTGGGGATGGAGCCCGCAACCTGGGCATGTGCCCCGACTGGGAATCAAACCGTGACCTCCTGATGCTCAACCACTGAGCCACACCAGCCGGTCATCAACAAACTTTTTATGCTTTGTGACATTAAGCCTTCGGACTGAAGGGTCCCTGGCTCAATTTCAGTCAAGGGCACATGCCTGGGTTGCGGGCTTAATTCCCAGTAGGGGGCGTGCAGAAGGCAGCCGATAAATTATTCACTCTCATCATTGATGTTTCTATCTCTCTTCCTCTCTGAAATCAATAATCTATCTATCTGTCTATCTATCTATATATTTTTAAGTCTTCAAGTATTGAGAAACTGTCAACCTCACAGTGGTGGATGCAGGTTTTCTATAATTTGAATTTCTCATGAAAGCTTGATTTTTATCATTGGTAATATACTGTCAGGTTTTTTTCTTGAAGTGACTTTGCCACTTCATTTATTTTCAAGAAAAACTTGGTTGAATACCCAAGTATAATTTATTATATATATTTTTAATTTTTGTTTTTGTTAATCCTCACCTGAGAATATTTTTTTCATTGATTTTGAGAGAGAGAGAGTGGAAGGGAGGGGGAGAGACAGAGAGAGAGAACCATTGATGTGAGAGAGACACTTGGACTGGTTGCCTCCCACATATACCCCAACCAGGGCCGGGGATCAAGCCTGCAGCCGAGGTACATGCCCTTGACTGGAATCAAACCTGTGAACCATGGGCGGAAGCTCTAACCACTGAGCAAGCTGGCCAGGGCTAAGTAATTATAATTTGCTCATCTTTTCTTTCAAGTAAAAATTGTGTTTCATGAGAAAAGTGGCTAGTTTAGCTTGCAACTCAAACAGTCACACAACTGCTTTTTCATGTCATTCCTATTTCGTTACACAGAATATTTAAAAGATGTGCACTTAAGGGTCAAGATTTAATAAGTTAGTTTTTAGTGGTTCATCTAGGACAATGGTCGGCAAACTGCGGCTCAACAAACCACGGTTCACGAGCCACATGTGGCTCTTTGGCCCCTCGAGTGTGGCTCTTCCACAAAATACCGGCTCTTCCACAAAATACCGACTTCTGCGCATGGGCCACGAAGTTTCAGCACCTGCACGTGAAACATCGATGAGAGAGAAACATCGATCAGCTGCCTCCTGCACACCCCCTACTGGAGATGTGCCCGCAACCAAGGTACATGTCCTTGACCGAATCTAACCTGGGACCCTTCAGTCTGCAGGCCAATGCTCTATCCACTGAGCCAAACCGGATAGGGCGGTTTTTGTTTTTTTTAATCCTCACCTGAGGATATGTTTATTGATGAGAGAGAGAGAGAGAGAGAAACATCATGGAAACATCAATCTGAGAGAGGAACATCAATGGGTCGCTTCCCGTACATGCCCCATTCAGGATTAAACTTGCACCTAGGTATGTGCCCTGATCGGGAATCAAACCCGCAATGTATGGGATGACGCTCCAACCAACTGAGCCACCTGGCTGGGCAGCTGTTGGTGGTTTTGAAGCAAGGAGTGATTTTGTTAATGTTGCAAAAAGGCGGATTGAATGGGGAAAAAATGGAGGTTAATAGATTAGGTAGAAGACTACTGCAGTAATTTAAATGTTAGGGAATTCTTCCTCGTGTTAAATTTGAGTTTCTCTGGTTGCTGTTAAAATTACTGATTTTGATCTATCTGCCACATAGATTAAGTACCCACAGCACGGGTAAAGTAGCACCCCCACCCCACCCCACCCCTGTGATTTAGGAATGTTGATACACTGGAAAGATTTAAAGGTTCACAAAAGTTGAGGCAACTGTCCCTGGCCGGTGTGACTTAGTTGTTTGAAAGTTGTCTTGTGCACCTGAAGGTGACGGGTTTGATTCCTGGTCAGGGTTCAGGGTACATATGGGATTGATGTTTTTCTCTCACATCGATGTCTGTCTGTCTCTCTCTCTCTCTGTAAAATCAATAAAAACAGCCCGCCTAGAGGTCACGGTTTGATTCCTGGTCAGGGCATGTGCCCGGGTTGTGAGCTCCATCCCCAATGTGGGACATGCAGGAGTCAGCTGATCAATGATTCACTCTCATCACTGATGTTTCTGTCTCTCTTTCCCTCTCCCTTCTCTGAAATCAATAAAAGTATTTTAAAAATAAATAAATACAATACAAACATATTCTTGGGTGAGGATTAAAAAAATTTAGGTTTTATTGTCAAGGTACATTAAAAAGTTAGTCATTTATTTATTTATTTTTAAATATGTTTTTTATTGATTTCAGGGAGAGGGAGGGAGAGCTAGAAACATCAATGATGAGAGAGAATCATTGACCGCTGCCTCCTGCACGCCCCCTACTGGGGATCGAGCCTGCAACCTGGGCATGTGCGGTGACTGGGAATTGAACTGTGACTTCCTGGCTCATGGGTTGATGCTCAACCATTGAGCCACACTGGCCGGGCATCATGATTTATTTTGAAAAAAGCAAGAAATGTCAAACTTCATGTAACACTACTAACAGTGCTTCAATTACACTTCAGTTTCAGTATCATAGACCAGTAGGAAGTGAGAAGAAAGAGGGGGACAAATTAGAGAGTGGTAGAGAGAAAGACAAAGCGGGGAGTCAAGAGGGGAAAATGGAAAATGAATTTGGAGGACAAGCTTGGAGGAACTGCTTGAGACAGAGAGGAGGCTCCGTGTGGACTATGTTAGCAGAGCTGGCTCCTTCTGTGTTCCCTGTGGCCCTGGCCTCTGGGTGTGGGC